TAAGAGCAAGACAAGAGCCACCCCCCACCCTCACCCCCCCCCTGTACCCGCTCCCGGGGAAAACTCTTCCCCGAACGAGGTGTAAAAAAACCACGACACCAAAAGAAAACAACAACCCAAAACGCCCCCTCCCCCCCCAAAGGAAAACCACCTGGGGTGTAAGGAATTACAAGATATTCCTGCTTTGGGGGTCGGTGGCTCCGTGTGCTGGCAGGATGGATTTGGCCACCACGGGTGGGTGCCCTTTGGACCCCGCGCCCCGAGCCGGCGGGACGGGCTGAGCTGGGCGGCTGGGGATGGAAAATCCCCCCCCCAGTCACTTTGTCCCCTTGGATTTTACCAGATCTGGTGAGTTTTTTTGAGGGGGGGGGCTGAACACGTTCCTGGTGTCATCCCCACCTTGTCTTCCTTGCCTGGGGTTAATCCGCTGGGTTCAAGGGTCTCCAAAGGCAAAAAAGGGGCGAAAAAAGCAGGGATTTTGGGGCTCCCCATCACCGCGCGCTCCCCAGGATTGGCCCCTGGGCAGGGTCACTGGATCCAGGTGCCCGATGGTAACACAAGCCCTGGGTGCTGCCACCACACCCAAACTTGCCCATTCTTGTCATTTCTAGCCAGGGTGGGAGGGCCCCCCCCCCAACCCCATGGGTTTTTTTACTATTTCTGGGGAGAAAAAGCAGTTTTGGCTCTTTCCACGTCCCCATGAGTGTGTGACGAGGGACTTGTACCCCTCAAGGGGGTCTCACCCCCCAGGGATGAGGGGAAAAGTGGGCTCAGCTGGAAGAGGTGCAGAATTAACCCGTTTATCTCAGGCTGCTTTCCTGTTTCTCCACTTTTCCGCCCCAATCCAGCGGGAGGAGCTCGGCCGGGAAACCCGGAGTTTTCTGCCAAACCCCCCAAAACTCATTTATACTTTTTTTGAGGAGGGGGGGGAGGAGAGGGTGGGGAAGATGCCTGGTGAAGGGGTGTGGAGCTGGCACTTACCGACCGGCGGTGACACCATCCCCATGGGGGCGGGGGGGG